CTCCTACTGGTATGTAAGGGCCTAGAGGTGGGTCTACCACATCGCTAGTCTATAAAGGTAACCAAAGAAGACAGCTGGTCTGCTTTTATCTTCTTCTGTCCCTCTGGACTGGTAAAAACACTGTGCTGACTTTCAGAGTGGATAGTTCTCAACTGTGAAATAATAAAAAGATTATAGCATGGAGACATTAGCATCCTCTCTGCCCTGGAACTTGGGTGCATTCTCCTCCTGTGAGGAGACAGGCTCCTTGTAGGCAGGGAGATTACCTTTCTCAATATGAACTCTGTACCTTTGAAAGTCCCAGCAGCCCTCCAGCTGGTATGCTTAATAATAACAATGACAACAGCAGCAACAACAAGGTGCTTTAGCTATATCTGATGCAGGTTTGGAAACCTGAAGGGAAATCTGCCTATCACAAAAGTGCGTGAGAGTTTTAAAAGCCAAAGGCAGCCTTCAAAATACTTGCCACCCTTTGGTACCTCCTCTCCTGCTCTGACCGCTGCTGTTGCAGCAACCCACTTTCTCTTTCCCCTTCAGAAGCTCTGCTCATCATCACTGGCACTGTCAGAACAAATGGTCTCTTTGGTGTCAACCCCCTCCACATTTCTTCTGTGAACCAAATCTGATTTCCATTGCTGCAAATATTTAATACATATGTCATTGGTGAAATTTCTGCCCATAGGAACACCAAAGAGTCAGCAGGAGGGAGGGGAAAAAACAACTCAAAGTAGAGGACAACTAGTTGGACATGAATACACCTAGGCTGAAATCCCCCTGAAGGGACAAGTAGCAGGGGACTGGACTCCATGACCCTGAAGCCCCTTTCTGTCCTGATTTCCAAGTACCAGCATGCAGGAGAGAAAGAGAAAGCAAGGGAGGGAAGATGCTTGTGTTTGCAAGGGCCTGGAGTATGTCTTTGCATTGTTTGATGGTAATCTGTTTCTTATTATTGTAAAGTCCAAGGACACTGTGTACGGACCTGGAGTAATGCTGTGTGCAGCTGTGGGAATGATGTCAGTGTCCTGCTCTTCAATGGGCATGGTCTGGCGGTTGTTGAGAGCCAGACTTCAGAGCTGTTTGCAGTAAGGAGCAATGTCCCTCCAGCCAACACCCTCATAAAGGGTGCCAGACACCCCCATGCACCAGGAGATGCCCAATTTTCCACACTGTACCAATAACCATCCTATCCTGTTTATCCTGTTTCCTCTGTTATCAAAGACTGATTCTGTACAGCTACTTGGATGTGCCTGTGTATTGTTCATTGCTGCAAACGGTGGGATGTTGGACCAAGTGAGACTGGGTTTTTCAGCTAGCACCATAGCCCCTGCTCTGGCTGTTCCCCACAGTCTGGGGAGGAAACATCTTCCCAGAAATCACAAGCCCCCATTTCCCACAGCTCAGGCAATTGAGGCCTGAGGTGTATTTGCCACAGTCACCTTGAGAAGTTAGCTTTTGCCCAGGTGCATATAAAAGAATGAGACACCTTGAATAGCACAGCCACAATCTCCATAAGGGATAGTCTGTAAAGATAATTGATACTCAAGAGTATATAAGCAGTAGTGAAATGTTCCCTATATACATTCTGCATAGCAAGTAAAATATCTTGGGTTGAAAAAGTTGTTTCTACATAACAGTCATCCTCCAGGAAGTTATTTTTGGCAGAGACACGTAAATCATTCAAAGTTGAATTAATTTATAATGCCAAATAAAATAATATTTTGTACCAAATAATACAGATTGGTACTTGAGAACAGAAAAAGTGTGGCTAAAACAATCTCTGTAGCAGAAGATCTAAATTCCTATAGGTGAATCACATGGATTAACTAAACAGCCCACTCTGAATTTAATCTGCTTTATATTCAAAAGAATCTAAACATTGGATGTATTCTGAATGCAGTTCATGTTTCTTTGCCTATACTTGTTACATTTATTTTCCTGTTGTACAATGTCACCAATTGCCATGTTTAGCAAGTATGTCCAACCCAATGTTAGTCAGCATTTAAAGCAAAAGTTAGTGTCTCAACTGCTTTTTTTTGGAAAATGTTGCTTTTTCTTTCTCCAACAATTTCACTGAGAAATAGAATGATGTTGTACAGGCTGATATCAAATGTTGAAAGACAGAGATCCTTTTCTCATCTCTGGTTTTCTTCTTGTTTTGTGAAGCATGTTAGGTCAGCACTTCTGTGTCCACTGTGGCCAATTGCGAGCCATGAACAGGGACATACACTTGCCATCAATGAAGGAAGCATCTCAAATAACTTCAGAATTTACATCAGATTTTTGGTAGTGTTTCCAAAGTACCTGAACACTTTATCTGCCTTGATCTGTTGGGTGACACTGTCAACAACTTCAAAGTTACAAGTGAAAGGATAAAGACAGTTCAACAGGATAGTGCCAGGTTGTCTCTCCAGAAATCAGAAAGAATAGATGACACATCAGTCCTTTGTGTCAGCTTTTACTTCCCTCACCCACATGGTGTTAAAATAATGGCAAAATCAGGTGCTCATTTATAAGACCTTTATTTATATAAATAATATTCACAATCTCAAACAAGTATACAACAGCTTGCTCGCAAATTAATGCTTTACAAAGAAATCTCATTGCTATTCCTGGCTGAAATTCCTCAAGCTGAGAGTGCCTCAGGAGTCTGAAGTTATAGGAATCTTGTGATGCACCGAGTTGTGACCTCTCCTAGCAGGAGGGGGCACTGTGGGAGCAGGGCTCCCTGCTGTCCTCTTGCAGCTGCCCTATCACCAGAAGAGGTGTTTTGAGGAGTGACACAGGAGCCCAGAGCCTTACCGAGAAAGAGGAACAGAATAGAGCAGAGAACTTGCAGCCATCATGAAGGAAATGGCAGAGCACATCCAGAGTGTGGGACACATTTAACCTTGGCAAAACCTCAAGAGTTTCGGTGGCTGAGGACAATCCATCTGGTGGTGGCGAGCAGGCATGCACTATGAAGCCCAGTCTTCAGCTTGTAAAGACTGTGTCCATCAGATCAGGTGCTACTGGGGTCCCCTAGTGGAAATGAAGTGATTGCCAGGCAGGAGGATGGCTTGAGTTTTGTCCCCTACAGAAGAAATCTACCTACAGGCTATAGAGCTTTGCTTATGCCAGGTGTTTTTTCTGGTCAGCTCTCAGTACCATCACTGGCTAGCCATAGCTGGTCATATCATGGGCAGTAAAAGGCTTGGAAAAACAGGACTGTGGGACTGTAAAGGTGCCTCCAGCAGAGGACAGTAGGCTAGGGAGGGAGCATATTGCACATCTGATCTAGGAGGAAATGCTCCATGGATGAAAAGTACTCCACACAGTGAGAGTTGTGGCACTCCTCCCTGAGGCACATGAAGAAGCAAATGGAGACTTATGTGAATGTCAATACACTGTCTAAAATGCCACATTCTTAACCTACATGAATAAGAAATTAAGTCAGAGGGACAATATGATGTAGAAACAAAGCACATTTTTCAGTAGAGGTGTGCTGGAAAAACACTGCAGAT